TTGAGCTTTTAGCAACTTTTTAACGTCGTTTATTAGGTTTCTTCCATCGAATCCTTCAAATAATCAATTTGTAACAACTGATAGTTTAATTCCTCTCGTTCTATGATAAGTTAATATCCTAACGGAATTGTTGAAATAATTTTACAATCGTTGAATAGACATATAATCAATAGGAGAATTTCTGTCCATTTTACGCAAAGATTGGTCGATCATCTGACTAACGTGATTTTTAATACAACAAAATATAAAAATCTACCACTATAGGATTCGAGATTATAAAATATAAAAAAAATTTGGTTTATTGCTATAATCTTTTATTTTCGTTTCATCCTTATGAAAAGGTATATTTAACGATAATTGGTGAAACTTAAAACTATCTCATTTTATTACATATGACATGATTTTTAGAAATAATACATTTTATTCTTCAAATGGATAAAAACAAGTGATCTTTGAAAACCAATGGAATATCTGATACAGCCTTTTATTGAACTATAAATATCATTGTAAATAAAAAAAATCTAAAATAATAACAATTTCATTAAAAAAATTAAAGAAATAATGTTTATTTTATAATTTTTTCGTAGAACAAAATATTTTTGAACTAGCATAATAGTAAATTATTACACATGCAATAAAAATCTATATCATTCATAACATAAAGAAGTTAACAAATATTTGAATCATAATCTGTGACTATTAATGGATGATTTAAATTATCAACGTTGATTGTGGGGATTCATTTGGATGGTGCCTAAGTTGATTATTGGTTCGTAAGAAATCTGTACGACTCGATATTTTATCCAGAAATAAAATTCCATTCACTAGTGAGAGCTTCAAATCCAATGATTTATTGCATATTTAGATAAAATGCTTTACACTTATGCATTATTATTATTTGGTAAATGAATTATTTAACACATAAATATATGATGTGATCTTATTATCGAAACCAAAGCCAAAGATCAAAAAAGATTATTAAAGTCATAAGAAAATTCTAATAGATATTCAATATCCAACATCTGGATACACATACATTTTGATAAAACATTTAAAAATTATAATACTACAAACCCATATTGACTATTATATTTATATTTCTTACACAAATAAGAAATTTGTATGAAATATACTAAAACTATGAGCATGGTTTTTTTTGGAATTACAAACATTATACGGACGTTGTCTTTCAAATTTTATCAACACGAACTAGAAATGCGAGAATTCGGGTGTTTACTAAAGACAAAATAGCTGTATAAAACATGGCCATCTTTACCCAATTAAACAATGGAAATTAGAACTTTTCGATTATGAAAATTGTCTTCAGCTTAATTTTTTTTTGAAAATTATGGAATTTTAAGGAAAATTCTTAAAAGAAAATTGATAATAGAAATTTCATTTCATTGTTACAATTTACTGTTTCTCTTTTATTGAAATGGTATAAATTAATCATGCAAAGAACAAATCAATAATAACAAACTAAATTAATTTTAAACAAGATCTTTTTCAGGTCACCATGATTAAAATTATAACAACCAAGAAAACCACATCAACTTTCAAATAGAGGTAGGAGGCGGCCAGAGACGTACGGTTGTGATCTTTAGTTTCAGCCATTGTACTCCTACATCTTCAGAGATGCTCGCATTTCCAAATGTTACATATTCATCAAGTTCTGCGCGCTCCCAAGTAGTAGACTTTTCTGTAATTGTTCGCTCAGTAGTACCTTCCATACTCGAAGCGTTTAAATCAACACTCTTTTTCCATTCGTATTTCCAGAGGGTATTTGTGAACCCACAGGTGACGGGTTCGACTTGTTTCTTACATAGTTTGCATATGCTGAGATGAGGTTCCGTAGGAAACTTGTAAGTACCGTAACCAAAATGGCGAACGATTTGAAGTTGATTGTAAGCTTTGCAAGATGTGTTCTTGCAGTATCCTTTAAAAGAGAGAATGTTAATGATATGAGCTCGTATCAAATTAGTTTTCAACAATATTTACCTTCGAGATTGAGGCCATGTGTTGTTTTCCTCAAATTTAGCCCTTTATTAGAAATACCTCTTGCAAACTTTCTTTTCATTACAAGACTTTTGTCAAAATTAAAATCAAATGGAGAATTCGTAGGATTTGGAGAACTTGTAGAAGAACTTGGAGAACTTGGAGAACCTGGAGAACCTGGTGAACTTGGATAACTTGAAAAAGACAAATGACTAAATTGACTTATAGAACTTAAAGAGAAATTAGGACTTGATGGGCCTGATGAATTATCCATCGTGATAAAGCGATAAAATTATTTCTGTGAAAAAAAAAAAACTTTATATATGCATGTTTTAAACTGTACCAAAATAGGTTGTTTACTTTGTTAAGCCTAAGCGAAACCTTTGTAAGATTCTATATATAGGTCCCAATACTGATCACATTATTCTAAATTTGTTAGCATAAAGGCAATACTTAAAACAGATGCTGTGCGACGATCTCGTTATTTTCCGGGCAAATTTTGGATTTATGATCGATAAACATCCAATTATCATAGCGTGTGATTTTTTATTTTATTTTTTTTCCGCAAAAACAATTTCTTTTGTTGTTAATAACCTATATTAGACTTACTAATGCAAAAATAATAGTAGTAATAAATTCTTTTTTAAAAGGATTTATTTTTGCTCGATATTTTAGTTGCAATTTTTGATAAAGCTTGTGTTACCACCTAATTTCAAGTTAAGTGGTAAGAATATAAAAACAATAGCAAAACGAAGTTTATTTATATAAAATTCTATCTTGAGATTCTTTTCTTAAAAGTATCAATTATCAATTCGGATCTATTAATTATATGACGAAATGTTGAAACTAAGAGCACGTGATCTAGTTAGCATGAAAAAAAGCGATTTGCACAAAGTATTGATCTGCTGTAAAAGTTTCTATATAAAAAAAATACGGCTAACCAAATAAAGTTATTGAAACATTTAATGCATTAAATTGTTTCAAATAATAATAAATATTGAGAATTTTCAATTAATATCTTATTTTAACAAGATGGAACTTACAAAAGCAATTAATAAAGATTCTTATCGACCCAACACCAAAATTAAAATCTAGCCCTGTGCCGATTTTGTTCATTCCCTTTGATATAAATGAAATCAAATGCAAAAATTGTGGATTTGAATATTCTTATATAATCTGTGGTTATCAAAAATATTGTAAAAATTGCTTAACTTGGTATACTAAGAATTTATCCGATAATCAAATATACCTGGACGTACATATAGGTACAAATAATACTCCATGTGGTGAACATGAACCAAGAAATTCAGATTTTCATACACAAAATATTCAAGAATGGTGCGTTATCTGTTCAGAAATTTTATATTTTAGACAAATTAAACATTCATATGGTTTATTACGTTCGTATAATATTTTTATATGCATCTTCAAAAGATATTTGGAAATTGTCAATTATGTGGAAAATACTTTTCTTTTTATGATAATAGTTATTATAGTTAAATATGTTCAAATTGTTATTTGATTTCTTCCGGGCGGATATGTTCATTCATTTTAAAAGTTCCTATTCCAATTCTTTATTTACCATGGTGGGGTACTATTGAAAATTGTATAGCTTGCAAAAAAAATCTAAAAACTGAAGCAGATTGTCAAAAGTGGTGTTCGAATTGTACCATCATATATACTGGATGTAGATATTGCTCAACGACAAATATTATTCTTGGAATGACAGATCATTTTCCATGCAAGAAATGCAATAGAAAATTAATAATTACTATTGATTTCACAAAATTTATCGTTATTAGTTTCTGTGGAAATAGTAATGTAGATGAATTTCTTTATCGCACTAGAATAAATAATATCCATCAATTTACATATTGCGTAAATACTGATAAAAGCATTGATGCGAATGAATATTACAAAAGTGAAGTAAAGTTTAATATAAATCCTCCAAAACCTATGATAGAATGGATTCCATATTCTCAACTTACAAATTTTAAAAAAATAGCAGAAGGAGGGTTTGGTATAGTATACAAAGCATTTAGATTAAATCCTGATAACAATCAGTATGAAATTGTTGCAATAAAAAGATTCTTAAATTCTCATAATATCAGCAAGACTTTTTTAAATGAGGTAAGGTAATCCTTAATAATTATATAAATTACGTTTATTAATACTTGTCAAATTTTATTTAAATTATTTGCTATTTTGTAATTCAGTTAAAATCATTATATCAATGTAATAATACAGACAAGTGTATTATTAAATATCATGGAATTACGCAAGATCCAGATACAAAAGAATTCATGCTAATAATGGAATATGCTTATAAAGGAGATTTGTATAATTATTTACAAAATAATTTTAGTTGTATTACATGGATCGAAAAATCAATTATTTTAGATAACATTCTACAAGGGTATTTATGTTCGTTATTACATTTGTTAGATTTAATAATTTAATAATTTTATTAATTCAATTCTATTTTTAACGTCCAGACTTCAAATTATTCACGAGAATGATTTGATACATCGAGATTTAAATAGTGGAAATATATTATCATGTAAGAAATATCATTGGAATATTGGAGAACTAGGATTATCGCAACCTGCAAATATTTCTTCTTCAAATAATGAAATATACGGAGTAATACCTTATATTGCACCTGAAATATTTAATGGAGCGAATTTTTCAAAAGAATCTGATATTTATAGTTTGGGTATGATTATGTGGGAATTAACAACGGGTTTTAAACCTTTTGCTAATTATGAACATAATACTGACCTTATTTATGAAATCATTGATGGAAAGCGGCCTGAAATTACTGAGGATACTCCTATATGTTTTGCAAATTTGATGAAAAGATATTGGGATCCTGATCCTTTAAAAAGACCTTTAATAGAATAATATAGTCAATTGCGTCCTATAATACATGATATTAAGAAAATTAAGCAATTTCAACAATCCGAGGAAAAAAGGTTTGAATTAATTCAATCAATGAAATTGGGCCCTGAATTCAGTGATAAACCTCATCCAAAGGCAATTTTTACAAGTAGAGCTTTAAGATCTTTGATTTCTAAATCTTTATCTGTAAATTTATCATTACCTAATAAAAATCAAGGTACGTAATATATCGTTATTAATGTACGTTTAAAATGTATTGTTATTATTAATTAAAAATTTTGGTATATAAGATAATTAATTGCTTTTTAATTTAATTTTTAGAATATATTTCAAGAGAATATGAAATTGATATAAATAGCTTTTAAAATAAATAATTAAATTTTTAAAAGAAAACATATTTTATAAATTATACTTTATAAATTTTTAATTAATAATTAGACTAACTATATGTTAGCCATAAATACTTATAAAGATGAATATTAATATTGCGATTTAAAATATTAAATAATTAAATGACAATATTTGTTTAATAGGAATTTTTTTAAAAGTATAAATATTAATTTATATTTAAAAATTTTTTTCAATATATTACTTCTTTATATTAATACAAGATATATTTAAAAAAAAATTTAATTATAAAAAACTTTGAATCAAATAATTAAAAGTCTGGAAAATTCGAGTTTTCGAAAATGATCCGGGTGACTTATCGACAACAATTGATTTTTGAGAAGAAATATTTTGCATATGATATTTTGATGTCGAAAATTCATAATGCATATAATTTTAAGAAAAAATTTTCAGTTCAAATTAACTTCATCCTTTATCAAAGATTATAGCGGAATCTTAATTGATTATAAATCATAATTTTAAGTTGGTATTTATGCTTTTGTAGAAAATGAATAATAAAATGTGAAAATAATTTTAACGTTATAAGATGTCATATTCCTCGTTATTTTGTAATTATCCCAGATGATTTCAAAATCCGGTTTCATATGATGAATCACTATTCTCTATAGATTTATTCCTATTAAAAAATACAAATACCATACAAGATTAATCATTTCGTTAAATCGATTGAAACAAATTTTTTTTTTTTGTCTTATTTGCCGAAAAGTGGCACAGTATCCGGTAAAAAATAAATGGTTACATTTGCGATTAACTTTTTTTGTTTTTTGTTTTTTCCAATACCTGATATTATATTTTGTTGCGCACTTCGGGCGCCACATTATAAAAAAAAGTTGCATGAGTGAATAAATCTCCCTTCTTAAAATGAAATTTACACTCATATTATTTTCACAAGTGTAAATTTAGCTAAAGTATTTTTGTTAATATAAAAAATACATGAAATATAAATATATATTCGTAGTTATTATTGACTAACATTTTCTATATTATCTGATATTTTAAATATATTTTTTTAATTGAAATTTTAAAAATATACGATAAGTCAAAATAAAAGAACTTTATAAAACAAATAATTCTAGTGAATAGCATCAATTTTGCTTTTATATGCCAAGATGATTTGTAGTCCAAAAATATGTTCAGATTAGATTAACTTATTTTACGTTTCCCACAGATTACCTCTTTTCTATTGCAAAAGTCCCAAATGACCTTATGAGACTTAAGGAATTAATCCATAGATCAATTAAGTTGGTGCGTTACTATTGACAATGCATTTCACTGGCCTGACTTCCGAGGATTTGGCAGGTGAATTTATTAGATGAGATAAATTGCCGGAACTGACTTGATTAATATATTCGCATCACGTGAGCCAAATTTGCTAAGATGCGTGCCGTTGAAAATCAGGTGAAATTCGATTTGCCAAAGATTTGAAAATACTCACTCTCGCTCTTTCTCTGAAAGAGAAAGATATTCACCCGGTTATAAAACCAACCATCTAGCCAAGTACTTACGAATACCAAATATTTGGAGATCAAAAGAAAAAAAATAATATTTCCGTTTTGATTTTAAACATCTAAAAAATGAAAGTATCAATTAGTGATGGTAATCCCCTAGAATTTATGAAAGCGTTTTATTAGCATAATTTATTATTATTTATGTAGGGTATACTCGATCTTTCGTTTGATGATATTGTCGATGGATGTAATGGTAGGTTTGAAATTTTATTACAAGTATCTTGATTGATTTAAGCAGAACAGATAAAAGGATCAACTGATGAAA